GCGAACCTATGGCCGTTCCCGTAGGGGAACAAATCTAATTACTCAGACAGCAAGAGGGTATAGAAAAAAAACGCTGAACATCGGATCCCGCCTACGGCGCCGGGTGGTAGCAAGAACGATGTCAGGGTCCTTAGAGCGCCTTTTGGATCGGACAAAAACGACACGTGCCCGGACGACACGCCACGGAGACTGCCTCATGCTCTGCACCTACAACGCCAGGACAGTCTCCACAAACGCCGACCTCCGCGCTCTTCTCGACGCTGCAGAGCATATCAAGTACCACATCATCGCCGGCGGGAAGAACCGCCTAGCGACCAGAAGAAGCCAGCGTAGGATCTGGCGTGGCCGGTTCTTAGCTAGGCATCCGGCTGAAACCGAAAACGTCGAACTCGTTCACAGCCTGGGAGACCCTGCCAGAGTATACACTCGGCTGTGCATCGTAGTTCGACATCCAGTGTCACCTCCACGTCACGATGAGGCGACTGACATTGTGGGGGTGCTTGAAGGTTACGTATTCGAAAGGAAGAATATTACGAAAACCTGGATTTGGCGAGAATAAGTGCTCTTAAGGTCTGAAACCATGTTGTACGTGTAAACACTACGTTAGTTTTTTGCAGGAAGGCAATATGGTCGAGCTACTCGAGAGCTAGAAACCTCCTATCAAAACTCCTGAAAGAACCAGTTTTTGAGAATACTCGATTTCTATCGCCATCACCTTGTCAATGGAGTAAGCAGTCAGCTAGAGTCACAGCCATGATTGCGTCTTTATAGAGTTGTAACCCCATAACCGCGATTCAGCACTATGCGTGCCGCGAGAGCTTAAAATAGGGAAGTACAAACACCTAACGAATTTACCGGAGTCACTCGCCATAATTTCAGACAGTAGGTCCAACACTGTGCAGTTTTCCTCCTTTCGCACCTTCATGCCATTTTTTGAAGTTTCGCATTGGATAGTCTTGGCTTAAACGTCTGCGATTTGCTGCAACCCGCTTCAGAATTAATGCAGAATCCAAAAATGAAGGTTTTGGAGAATCCTAAGCTTGCTTTTTCATTTTTGAATAATTTAGCTGGTGTACAAATCTTGGAAAGGAGACAAGGAGCGAGCAAAAGCTTTCGACGTTCTTTCACAAGCCAGAATGGATTTAGTGGTCTTTGCTCGCGTAGCATTTGGAAGAGCCTTGTAAGCTCTTAAAATAGTGATAAGGCGCATGGAAATTTTCTTGCGTTTTCCAGGGGAGATGTACGAGCCTACGAACTCAATCCTGAAAGAGCTAACCTACTTCCTCTAAAGGTAAGATCCCATGTGCATACCATTCATTTCTTCCCCAGTCTCCACTGTCGAGTCGTATCTTTTTTTCAGAAAAAGCGTGTGGTTGAAACGACGGCAAGCAGTTCCTCCGCTATCAAGGAAATAGAAAAGATCAGCCCCCAGATTAAGCCCATCTGCAACCACTATTTTTTTCCAGTTTGCCACTGTCATTGCTCAAGGCTACCTGGTACACATCTATTTCGTAATCTAATGAGTCCAATATTGTGAAGCTTCAAGATAGTGAGCATAGTAGTTTGGCTCCTCCTAAATTCCTTTTGTTCTTTTCTTTGTTACATGATTTCAAAAGTAATAAATTTGTTAGTTTTGGCTGTGTATATTTCAATACACACATATGTATACATATGTATGTATCAGTGGCGGACCGGAGGGGAAGGGGGCGGGTAGGGGGCGGGGGGGGGGGGGAGGCGCGCCCCCCTCCCCCGAGAATGGTCGCGAAATTTTTTGAAAGTTGCCTACGTGGGTCTAGTCTATTTTTGTAAATAACTAAAATAATTTTTAAATTTTTCAAAAATTCAGATTAGCAAATTTTCGAGGCCTGGGATCTTGGGCCCAAAAATTCAAGAAGGACACCAAAAATTTTTTCGGAGTGCGTGGCTAACACCGCGCACCTTCATTTAAAAAAAATTTTTCGCCCCCTCCCCGGACAGAAATCCTCGGACCGCCACTGGTATGTATAAATGTGAATGTATACATGTATATGTATGTATATATATGTATATATACATGATATATGTAGAAGCCAGTGGCGATCCCAGGATGGCCGGGCGAAAAAAATTTTTTTTCGAATCAAGGTGCGTGGCGTTAACCACGCACTCCGAAAAGTTTTGGGGGTGTGTTCTTAAAATTTTCGCGGGTCCCCAACCCCTAAAATCTTGAAAAAGAGGGCGTGGCCCCCGAAAAAAATTTGGCTAACTTGAATTTTTAAAAAATTTAAAAAATTATTCTAATTATTTACAAAAATAAACAAGTCACTTGCACATTTTCATGACCCATGTAAGTAAATTTTAAAAATTTCGCCCCCCCCCTCGGTGCGCCACTGGTAGATACATATATAATGTAAAACAAGTAGGGATATAGCAAAATAATTACTGTGAGATAACGCGCTCCACCTGCGTTCATTCATCACGATGTCTCTCACTCAAGCTACCGCGTATTTTCTGCAAGATATGGGTTGCGCCAAAGCCTTGTCTAGAGTCCCGACTGTCTCGGGATTTCGTCGCTAGGCCGCTTACTTGTGTCGTGCCGTCATTCCCGCTTTCACAAAACGGGCTGCGCTAATCAACATGAAATGTCTGAGAATAAATAAATAACGTAATTCAGATATGCACTTGGCTGTAATTCCATACCGTTGAAACTCTTGCACATAATTCAAGATATAAATGTTCGAGTAAAAGGAAAGAGAAAAGAGGGAAGGGCCTTGAAGGCTGATAAGGTATTGTCGTAGTGCCTAATGTTTCTATCAATCGTCTTGTAAAATCCTGGATTGGTAAGAGATTCAAGATTTTGTGTCTATCTTACGGAACAAACCTCCTTCATACTGGCCACCTTCTTCACCACGAAATGTTGCAAGAAAAATTGAAGGACAAGCAAAGCTCCTCCGGGTTACTTAGCATTAACGTCGACAAGCAGATTTCCAGGACGGCCGTCGTTCAGCGCCACTATCATCAATGATGGAATGCAATGATTTTTATTTACGCGTTTGATCATAGCCTTAACTCATATAAAGGTGCAAAAGGCAAGAAGTCGGATGTGGTTGTGCACTTGGATCGGCTGTTCATAGCTGATTTCTTGAGAAAAACCGGAGTGCTTCAATAAAAAAGAAAACGCCATTGTGACATATTCGATTCTAGCAGTTTACCATAGTAGAATTAAAGTTTTTGCTTGCTAAGAGCGATGAGGCTTTCCGTTTCTTGCTGACTAGATTTTCTTTCACTCTCATCCCTATATTATTATTATATGATGACTTCATCAATGTTGCTTTTTGTGTAATCATCGAAGACCACGTTTTCAGTTTTATTACCAGCAGAGCTGTTCCTATGATGTTACATAAACATGTAAATCGTCCTAAAGAAAAGGCATGTAGGGAAGTTAGACCACTTTTGAGTTCGCAAAAGAAGCTTGTGAAGCCAGAATAATTTTGAGGCTTGTCACTACCACAGCTGATTAGAGCCCTGTTATGCTGCGAGAGATGGAAAGAATGGTGGATCGCAGAGCACAACAGTACAAAAATCGGAGTTTTCCAGATTGCGTATTCCGAAGTTGTGCGGATACAACATCGGACACTTTCCATTGAGGGGTTAGATGAACGGTAAATAGAAAATAGCAAAATGTGCACAAAAAATTTATTGGCTGAGTACAGCTTATACTTTATGCGGTCATAATTAGCCGCGGAAGCATCTATGACTACGTCTTAACTAATTGTAAGTTTCTACGACGAATGCAGTGTGGGACGTCCCTTCTTCCCTGTTTCATCTATTTTGTTCCTGTTTTGAACCATCTGGTCGATCCTGCTTTCAAATACTTTGTGAGGAACCAGGAAACAGCAAAATATAGTTTGGTTGTATACACATCCGAAAGATGAGGCTGAAGTAGCTTCCTGAAAAATCACAATCAAAACATGAACCAATATGGTACTTTTCCGCTCGTCGGACACATTTTTGTTGGAAGTTCTATAAATTTTTATTGTTGTACCAATCATAGGTATTGTGATCTCCATACATAGGATAATCATTCTACCATTTTCAGTACGTACTCTTCTTATGGGTCACATAGAGAAATTTACAAATGAAGCATGTTTGCCTATCTTGTAAAAAATGATCCGCGAAGCAGGCAAACATATTCGTAACTTCAGGTCGTTTTTCGAAACAACACTGGAGTTTCCCCTTTATACCAGGAAGAGTTGAAGAGCTCGTGTGTCGCATGAAGGAGTTCTTCATGGACAAAATCTCGAGTTTCACAACACTATTTGTTACGCAGAACTGACATGTGGCAGTTACGTGACTCTTCGTATAATCAGAAAAAGAACATTGAGGATTGAGAACACAGCGTAATCATTGGACGTTGAAGTCTAGAAAACGAAGTATTGTCAATTTTTTATTTTCTCTCAGTGCACAAATTTTCCTCTTTATATCATCGTCCCACCAAACGGGGGGTACCTGGCTCTGGTAGAAATGTAATAGTAGACCCGCTATCTAAGCGACGACAGAAGTCTGCAGCGCGAAAGGGGTCTAAAAGCCTACAAATCGCCCCTCAAGTGGCCCGAGTCTTACGGTAGGCTCGTGCGAGTGCGAGATGCATGCAAGGTAGAGACGCAGAGTTGGTTGCGGGACCCTGCGCTCATGACTGTGTGCGCTATACGCACTACGACCTTGCAAATCGATATTGTTGTGGACGTGTGGACGGCTTTCGGGCCTACCGCAAGATTCGGGCCAATTCCGGAGCAAATTTCAGGCTTGGTAGACCCTCTCTTTCGCTCCAAACTTCAGTCATCGCTTAGATACGGTGTCTACTTTAATATCGCCACAAAAACTCGGCACCCATCTTTTTGCCGGAGCGCTGACTTCAGGAAAAAAGTAATGGGCAAACAATGTGCAAGCTGCAAAATCCTCAGAATTTTGAATGAATGTCGGATCTATTGAAGGCACCGTCCACCTAAAATGGAGGAATCCGCTCCGGAATAGCAAAGTAGGCGAGGCGACCATGGTGGCTCCGCCTACTTGCATGCTTTATCTCGCCCGCGCTTGCAGCAGGGTTCTATGGAAAGTTACGATTTTCGAGCAAGCAATACAAAAGAATTTGATTTATTTTGACATTTTTCAGGGAAATTGTAACTTTTCATAGAGGCACTCAATCGACGCAGACTTTGCACTGTTAGAAAGAGCTGGTGAGAACCTACAATACCGACTGCTCCAATTTTTGTTGCAAGTTTCCGATTTTTTGTGACCCTACACAGAAAATTCGAATTTTGACTAAATTTCTTCTATCGCTCCTATCTATGCAACAGATGATCATTGGCAAGCAACTAATCGTAAGATGTCATTATAAAGAGCATGACTTGCTCTTTCATACAAAAAGAAAAACAGTCAAATCGGTTGGAAAAATTAGAAGTTATGAATTTTTGAATTTGGTGGGAAAGAACTTTTGCACCAACCTAATACTTTGAAAATCTCTTCAAAGACATGGAGGGTATATTCAAAACTAATGTGTTAAGTCCTATACTTTGGTCCACCTTATTCTTACTTGACACAACCTCCGCTTCGTACATGTCACTTTCCCTTGTTAGCAAATACTTTCAAAAATTGATAGTCAACGAAAAGCATTTGAGAGAATCTTTTACTTGAAAGTGGAATTTTTCTCTGCTGCTTTCCCTCAAAAAATCTGGCGGCACTAACATAGAGTAATCATTTTGTCGTTTTTCTTGTTGTTTAGAGGGAGGGGGAGGGGGGAGGAGCACGTAGGAAAGCAATTGGAAGGTTGCGTCAGAAAAGTGCTCAAAGTCCTCAGCCACTGTTTTGCGAGCTTGCTCTTCAAATGAGGAAATACTTTTGTATGATCTGATTTATAGGCGCAGCAACAGCATCATCTTGAAAGGCATGATTTCATTCATGAAAGAACTTATCTGGAGAACAAGGTAAAACACTGGTTTAGCTCCTTGAGGTCTCCGTCGTGAATTTATATGCAATTCAAGGGCTACTGCACGAACAGCCACAAGTATATTTTGTCGAAAGTTTCAAGTATACAGTTTTCAAGCGCATATGATTTTTGGGACATTCAATTCGCTGCGAGCTTCGTTTTGAAGTTCCTGCTGAGAAACGCATCATTTTAGTAAGAAGCTCATCTATTATATATACTTACGCTGAACTTTTTGAACCCATTTCAAAGCTGTCACTTTTTCCATGTAGACCTTCTAACGGATATTATAATGCTCAAATGCACTGTGATATCAAGAGAGAAGGGTACAAGGCAAGCTACACCAAAACATTCTATGCATGTAGAAAGAAACCCTTACCCGTCTCACATTTGATTTCATAGTTTCATCCAAGTTTGCAAGATATTGGACAGCCTCTTTCTGGTTTCTGAATATGATACATTATGTGAGTTAAAGTAATGCTGACATATTTACTTTATAGAGCCGTCGGCAAGCAAAGGGTTGCACGAATCGTTATCTCCTTTGAAAAACTTCAGGGTCGCACCGATAGCCTCAGGGCTACACTGTAATGAAAACGTTTAGTTCTGTAATACAACGAAAAAGCTTGACATAGCATGCTCATCTTTTGTTAGGAAAACCAGTTTGAACGATTCTCTGACGTATGAGAAAACTGACTTACCGGTATAGGCTTTCCACCAAGGGCACGCCTGAAGGCTCTTTTCGCTGCTTTGTTGACGTCGTCTTTGCAGTTGGCCTGCACGGTTTCTTCACTAGTCTTGGATGTTTCGGCTGCTTCCTCAGTTTTCCTAACGTCTTTCTGGGTACCAGCTTTATGCTCACTATTAGCGTCTTCCTGTTTATCAGTTTTATGGTCAGTATCACTGACGCCGTTCCGGGTATCGCCATGCTCAGTATTACCAACGTCTTTGTGGGCATTAGTCTCAAGCTCAGTATCACCAACGTTCTGGGTACCAGTTTCATGCTCACTGTCACCATCGCCTTTCTGGGTACCAGTATGCTCAGTATCCCTGTTTGTTTCGCCTACGGTAGACTGCTGAACTTTGCTCCCATCTTGGACATCGACTTGCTCAAGTTGACTTTCAACTTGTTTAGTGGAGGGCACGATGGCAGGTAGTATCTAAAACAGAACATCAAAAGATTTGAAGGGAATTTGAATAAGAACTTACGAAGAGAACTAGACAAATATACATGCTTGACGGTAAGCATTCCTCTGCGCAGACTATTTATACCTTCACGTTGCAACATCGAGCTATTCACATCTGACAGTCACAAAATGGTACCAATGCCCTCAGCAAGTCCTTTATCAATTATGCTGCTGCTAAAACAAGACTTTCATATAGGTGCACTTCAGTTGCGGACCAGGGGGGGGGGAGGCCCCACCCCCGAGATTGGGTCGCGAAATCTTTGAAAGTTGCTTACATGTATTGTAAAAATGTGTAATTGAATTGTCTATACTTGCAAGTATTTGAAACGGTTTTTGAGATTTTTTGAAAACTTCTTAGCCTGGTAAAAAAATTCTCCGGAGGCTTGGCTGCTGCCATGCCCCCGAAAAAATTTTTGTATGAATTTCGGGATCGTGGGCCCGGAAAGGTTTCAAAAAAAATCCCAAAAAAAATTTTCAGGAATGCATGGCTACCGTCACGCACTACATTCGAGATTTTGGTGCTCCTTTCCCTCTTCCCTCATCTTCCCCCACCCCCCGGAACGGAAATCGTTGGGCCGTCACTGCACTTGTATGTTCATTGCTGCATTTACATTTTCCAAGTAACTTATGAGCAGGGATCGGCGGAGGTGGCGCTTTTACACGTTATGTAGACGTCGGTTTTGGAGGAGGAAGCAAAGAGAAACTCTTGAATTCACGCAGAAACCTTGAAATATAAGAAAACACAACTCTAACTTTTAGCAAGCCCAAATGGGAGGGCCTAAATTAATTTCATCAGTTACAGGTAAATTAACACTTTACAAACACGACTAATGCTGAACCTTTGTGCACACGACTTCAACGTGTCAAAAGACAATCTTTGGGTACAACAATGTAAACACCCGGTATAAGTACAACGAGTAAGCAATATCGAGCCAAAATTCGGTGTACATCATACATCATCTTCGATGATCAAAAAAATTACGGAAGTTTATGAAAAATTCATGTGAACGAAAGAAGGTGTAGACGTTCTCGGTTTGATTTGCTCCCGCGCATTCTGTGGGGCTGCGCTGGACCAAACAAAGTCATGAATCTTCGCAATTCTCCCCCTTCTTCACATAAATTTTGATTTTTTTACGCAAGCCTTTTTTAAATAAAGCTCTATCTATGAGTACTCATCTTAACTCAAGTTTTATGCCATATGCTTTGCTATGGCTCTTATTAGCCTTTTTTCGCATTTCGCTTTTCAATCTTTAATTTATTCTTGTCTTTTCTTCACTTCAATCCACGTTTGTTGCAGATTATTGATCTTTTGCAAACACTACAAAAAACAACTCGTAATAATTGACAATGTCAAGGAAGACTTTTTTTGAATACCTCATATGCCACGTGTGCTGAGCTTTGCTTATGAGTAGCTTTAATGCCATTAACATTGCAGAGACAGTCTCTTATTATTCAGATTATCGTGTACTTGCACTTCTCTATTTTTTGGTTGTAAGAAGCAAACAATACTTGGAATTCTAATGAATGCAATCACTTAACCTTTGCGGTACGTATATTCTTAATAGCCTCATTTCTATTACTGCGTCGGGGCGCTCAAAGATCTGACAAGGGAAGTTCGCCGAATCGAAGTGGCCGATTGATATGTGGTATACACCCGGGCTCGAGGCTCGGGAGGTTAGTATCAAATGTGCGCCCAGTAGCTGCGACGCGTCATTGTGAAGCAAGTTATGGCCCTCTGAATTTTTTGGCGTGTGCATGTCTAGAGAACGCCTAAATGATTTGATCGTAATCATGTGGTGTAATGGTTAGTGTCTCGGACTCACAGGTGACCGGGGGTTCGAATCCTGTTGCTGTCCACGTTTTTTGCGTTCTTCCCGAATTTCATTTTTCACCTGTTTGATACAGGGTGTCCCAAAAAATGTGCCAACTGTTTGATTGTTAACTCCCTTATAATGAAGTATTTCGAGAAGCTTTAGGTATATTTTGTAGAGCGAGGTTAAACTTAGATTTACAGTATGGAGCGAATCATCTAACGCTCTTCATTACTGTAGGATTACGGTACGAACTTCGACAAGGATTTTAGGCTTTTGGAGGCTATATTCTACTTCGGAACAAAACCAAACAAGCCAAAAACTCTTATACTATGGTAGTGGGAGCCGCCGACTTCGAATTTGAAATTCGCATTCTACTATGGTGCTTCTTTCCTAAGTTACGCCCGGTAAATCGTAATGTCAATTCCCAGCATTGTCAGAAATGTAATTACACCACCAAAAAAAGCTGAAAACACACGTAAAAAGTTGTTAGGTGGAATCAGCATGCGCAAAAACTTTAGTACATGATTTTTCAGATTTTTTGAAAAAAATTTTGTTAGGTGGTATATTTGACATTGGTTCCATATGTTGGAAGTTCTTACCGTAATCCTACTGTAATGAAGGGCGACAGATGATTTGCTCTGTACTGTAAATCTAAGTTTAATCTCGCTTTACAAAACGGTACTTAAAGCTTCTCGAAACACTTTATTACAAGAAAGTTATTGACAATCAAACAGTAGGCACATTTTTTGGGACGCCCTGTATTTTATTGATGTAAAAAATGACACATACGGTTGGTTAAACTCTACTAATTTACATCCTGCGGTGTCATTCTCACAAGTAGCCCATTAGCAAAAATCGATAGTACGACGTGATACAACTTATCACATATGCTCCCTCCGTATGTCACAGTGGGTTATTTACAAGCAGTCTAATATTGTATAGTCTTTGGATAAAGTTCAATTGGTCAAAGCAAGAAGTTTGGCCGAAAATCCATATGAAACCTTGGTCGAATATTCGTGAGAAGAATCATCCCGTAAGCCGTATGCGTCATTTTTTACTTCAATAATTCATAAAACAGGGGAAAATGAAATTTAGGAAGAACGCAAAAAAGCGTGGACAGCAACAGGATTCGAACCCTGACCGGCCACCTGTGAGGTGAGTCCGAGACAATAACCACTACACCATACGAAGCGTTTATGTATTCGCTAGACGTACACACGACAAAAACTTGAGAGGGCCATAACTTGCTTCACAATAACGCGTCGGAGCTAATGGGCGCACATTTGATACTAACCACCCGAGCCTCGAACCAAGGTGTATACCACATATCATGCCACTTCGAGTCAGCGAACTTCCCTTGTTTGTTGCAGTGGCGAAATTTGATTTGAGCACTTATAAATATAAAGCCATGCGATAGCGATCATCTATAGATTAGGCTGTGATAAGTGCTCTTGCAGATCTTAAGTATCCAAATCCTCAAAGTGCAACATCGGTTTTGGGCCATCCTAATAGATGCCAGGTCGAGTTCTGTCCTTGCATTTTCAAAAAATTGTAACTTTGCGCTTCTCAACGGTTTGCTCGGTAATTTTATTGAAAAGAGTAAATTTTCGCTTCCAAATACTGCCTGACGAGCTTCTTTTTCATTAATGTAGATATGAAAATGGAAAAAGAAGACAATGTAAGCTCTGATTATTCTTACAAGGAAAGGACCCTCGGTCGAAGTGGGGTTCCCATACGTGATGCATATCATTGTGCTGGTCTTGAGGCACTAATACTAAATCCGTGTTCCTTAGCTGCTCACTGATCTTCTGGAAAAAGTTATAAGCGATGGTTTTACCAGGATGACCACGAATCGCTTGAATTAGCAGCGCCGATAAATGTCAGTTGTGGAGGGATGGTGGGGTGGAGAGCTGCGGAGATTATAGACAAGTGGTAACACGTTACTTATGTTTCAAACATTCTTGCATATTTGCAAATTATTCAACGAGTGCCGGATGATGTTTCTCTGCCTTGGGGCCCTCTAAGGATACTATCATAGAATACAATCTACAAAATGGAAGAATGTGCGGAACATAAGTATTCCGGAATATTTACCAACCTCCATAGTTTCCACAATTATCCACTCGGCCATCCCTCGACATTTCTCCACGCCGCTAACTTAACCCTTTAGGACCTGAATTTTCCCAGTAAGAAAGAGAACTGCTCACCTAAGGTTATGATAGGGTAGCGTTTGAATAACAATACAGAGAAGTTTGGGGCTTTTTCGACAACAAGACGTTTTTATTTTTGATTTTTTCTGCCAACCTTCATTCAATTTTCTGATTTTTTCCAACAGAGATGAAATCGCGTACTCATAGCAGATGTGCTCGTGTGACATCATACTCCACACTTCAGTTAATAGTATAAATTCATTTCAACTATCAGGGGAGATAATTGATATTTTTTCAGCAGATGCTGCGGCATACAACCGTTATCGATTTTTTGTCACTCAATTGCGCACAGAGATTCCTACATTGCTAGTACCACCATGGATGGAATGGGACTTGCAATCTACTTATAGGAAGGCAAAGGTTGTCTGAAGCTAACTATAGCAATAAGTAGTAGAAATCTGCTGTTGCGCCAGTAACACTGCCCTTTGAAGTTGATGGTGGCAATTGCCACCACCAGGTCCCAAAGGGTTAAGCGATCCGTGGTCATCCTGAGGAAACCATCGTTCGTAACTTTTCCTAGAAGGTCATTGAGCAGCTAAGGAACCGGATTTGGTATTAGTGTTCCAAGACAAGCACAATGATATGCATTACGTATGGGAACCCCACTTCGATCGAGGGTCCTTCCCTTGTTAGTTAAGTCGCCAAATAGCTGAAACGTTGTAGAAAAATCCGAAATCGTCAGTGCATAAGTTTCATGACTTACTCTTTGCAGAGTAGCTTATAAAACTTATATTGTAACGCTACTTTCCAGATTTTTAGTGATACAACTTGAAACGCTGAAGCTCACATAGTCTTCCTTTTGCATTTGCAGTCCATGTAAAACAGAAGCACTGCAAGACAGCGTTCAAAAGCAAAATTTTCTTTCTAATGAAATTATAAGCTAGCAAATCCGTTGAGAGACAGTGAAGTTACGAATTTTTGAATATGAAAGAACTGTCGGACAGAACTAATATTAATCATGCATCAGGTCGGTTACCACGAACCGATTTCTATCCAAATCTGTAATCACCTGTAATTTCATC